CGCCAACGAGCAGGTAGCAGAGGAAGAGGATGGTCTGGAGCATGAGGGTGCGCTGGGCGGTGGTGAGCTGGAAGTCCTTTGCGTAGTGACTGGTGGCGGCGCCGTAGACGGTGACAACCATGAGGGAGGCTGTGAGGAAGTAGAGGATGGCGGCGAACATGCCGTAGTAGAAGGCCTGTGAGAAGATGTACTCCTCGGCGGGCTCGATGACGAGAGGCCCCGCGGCGGTGGCGTTGAGAGCGACAAGGCAGATGGCGGACATGTACCAGCCCACGATGGTGATGGGTTGGGCCAGGGAGAAGCGAACGCGGCGGGCCATGTTGAGGAGGAGGAAGACGTTTGAGATGATTGCTATCGCCAGCTGGATGGCGTTGACGATGATGAGCCTGCAAACATCGTTAGCCTCGTGCCAGTGTTGACGGATGGCTCACACATGAGGAGTGTGAGGAATCGTGAATAACACGAATGTCTGGATGAGACGGGGGGCTGACCATTTCGGATCCGGCTCAAAAGCGGCGGTGGTGATGTCGGTACCGGGCGGGTAGTGCTGTCGCCAAGGCCGGACGAGGGCACAAATACTGAACGCCGAGGCAACGGGGCCGAGGGTGCCGGCGATCATGGGAAATGCGGAGGAGGCGAACCACCATCGGCTCGGGTCGAGATGTGCGACATCGTTGGCAAAGCGCTTCTCGCTGCTGCGGGGGTTCTTTGACTGCTCGAGCTGGCCGATGCGCTCGTCAATGTTATCGCCCAGGTCGGCGTCGTTCATGGCGGCGTCGAGGTTGGATCGAGCGGCGAGCCGCGCGGGGCAGATGAGCGGGTGCGGTGTGGTGGATCCGCCGAAGGTGAAGGCATTCCCGACTGCTGCAAGCTACCTAGGTAAGATTTCTCAAGAACACGACGCTAGAGTCTTGTGAACGATTGTCTTGACAATTCTTGGCCGTAGTTAGTAACTGAGTTGAAGAAGAGGGGAATTCTCGAAATCTTCTTTTTCTCATCGAGGTTGAGGATCCATAGAGTCGGGAGTCTAGACTCCTGAAAATACTACCGGTATCCGTGCTAGCCGGGGTGCCCCAGACGGAGGGGGATGAAGGCACTTCGCGATGACGTCTGTTTGGGGGATGCCGAAGAGGGTGTGCACTCGCGCCTTGTTTTTCCTCTCGTTCTTCTTCCTCTTCGCGTCTACTGATCAGATAACTGAGACATGTCAAAAAATGTGCTCCAATACGTAGCGAGGAACGCAACGGACGGGCGTTTTGTTGCGTGGCCTAGTTTAGATTGTAAACGGCCGGATGATCTCTGTCTGACCATCTCAAATTCTCGAGTGTGTGCTTCCCTCGCGAGATTCGGCGATCTTCTGTCTTTGAAGAAATATTTGGCCGCCAGTTACGCCGTGACCGTTTGCACCATTCGTCCTTGGCATTTGAACTTATATATATCTTTCTTCGCTTGGCATGCAATATGCCCCCCAGGTCGCATGTCGCCAACAGATTGGTGTCAATCATCAGACAGATCAGGTCACCCATGCCTGCAGTAGGACAGAGCTCATGATCTCTCCCGAAACAGCGATCCCTTGGCTCCATTTCAGCGGTGGTTGCTCCGGCGCTTGGGGTCAAATTCTCAGGTGGTGCCAGGACACAGTAGTACGACGTAGACGCTACTGCAACAATGTGGGAGTCGAAGGGGACCCTTGACCCAGAACTCGAAGCTTAGCAGAGGTGACGTGTGGGGGACAGTTTGCGGCGGTGCAAACACGAAGGCTGGAGAAATGGGAGATGATGGTGGTGTGGAGGAGACGGAATGGCCGCTGGTTGGTCCGAGGGTGGTCCCTTTACAACTTAGTGAGAAAAAAACGCGTCTGGGGAATTGCAGTTGGTTGTTTACTCGGATAACTTACTCACTCAAAATCATACACTTACATCCAAGGTACTCACATGAGTATGAGTGTGTGAGTGAGTGAGTGAGTAAGCGAACAACTGGACATGAGTGTTTCAGTAGCTCGTCCTGCTATTGTCTCATATTCATAGACGATGAGAAGATGGCCGGCACCTTGGCTGTCGTCTCGTCTGCGCCCAACTCATGTCTTTCAACGAAGATGTTTCCATCTTGACAGGCCTGACATCGAGTCCGTCGATGTGCCTTGTCGCTCCTCAGGGGCCATCACAGTAGAGTATATCTCACTCCATCCCCCCATGCCATGACTTCTGTTTAACGCAAATATCAGTCTTCACAATGTGAACCGTCATCCCGCCGTAACTCCTTTGATGGTGTACATCCCGCCCTTCTCACCAACCCCGGGATACCTGACCCCCATCCCCCACTTCCTCATGCCGTACCCAACGGCCGTCATCAACTACCGATGGTCCCCGTCCCGGTCCGAGTCTCCGGTCTCCACCCCACCGGAAGCCGAACACGACCCAGAACCCGACTTCAACTTCACCACGCCGCTCACATGGCCCACCCCCTTACACGACGTCCTCGCCGGCTACACCTGGATCACAGAAAACCTCCTACCCTCCGGCACCAACTCCCGCCGCGACATATACGTATACAGCTCCCACGCCGGCGCCAGCATGGCCACCTCTCTAGCCCTGACTGAGTCCCATCACCATGCCCGCATGGCCGTCCGTGGACTGATCGCCTGGAACGGCATCTACAACTGGTCCATGTTTCTCCCGGACCACAAGATCAACAGGCCCGCCACCGCGCGCAGCAAGAAACTCCCGCCACGGCCTGAGGAAGGGTCGGCGCTGCATATGCTGCAGATGAAGATGGAGAACCTGTTTCGCTCACCGGTAGACCTGTTCGACCCGTTTGTGAGCCCTAGTCTTCTCTTCCAGACGCCCGGCATGAACGCGCCGTCAAGCTTCATGCAGGCGGCGGCCGTGTCGTCGTTATTGGAACGGCTTTCCTCTGTCAACCCGGACGTGAAGCCGGCTGATATCCTTGGCTTTACAGAAGGGGTGATGATGGCAGCGCCGAGGCGGAGTGCGCTTGTGTTCCCGCCGAGAAAGTCGACGCTCAAGCTGCCTCATGCTTTGTTACTCCATGATACCCCGACTGAACCTGTGACGAGGCGTAAGACGACGACGAGGAAAAGCAGCTTGGCATCTTCCATGGCTGGAGAACTCGCTTCTAAGACGGCGAGGAGACGGAAGGTGGCAGGGCACACGTTTGAAGCCCAGGCTACGGAGCTGGCGGGGTTGATGAGGCGGAGCTTGGAGAAGCTGGAGTTCAAGGCGAGGCTGCAGTGGGACGAGGACTTTGACGTGGAAGCCGAGGCTGAGAGGCGGGTGACTGTCGTCGAGGTTGGTGCGAACGAGGGGCTTGAGCTTGGTGAACGTGGGGAGGATGCCATTGCGAATTGGTTGGAGGACAGGATACGTTTGTGATACCCATCAATTCTCCTCTCAATTCTTTTTCTCCCCTTTGAAGGGCACCGATCAGAACTTATCATGGCGCAATGGGCTTTTCGTCTCGAACCTTCTGTACGGCCATGGCATGGGGCATGCTGATGGTGCCGTAGCAAGACGTGGTCATCAGGGGGTTGACTTTGAGCTCTCAGTAGCCGGTCCATCCACACAATTTAGGGCTGTATATACCTTGGGTAGATAGACGACCGGGTTATATGGCAGGGAGGTTTTGGATTGAACTGGCATACCTTTCTTCCCAAGGCTGTGCGCAAGTTCACCTACCTGCCTCACCTCCATGCTCCACACCCGGATGTCTTTTCCATCTCCCGTCCATACCCTCATGAGGCGCTCCAACTCGCTTTGCTTTCACCAGATGAGGCGGTACCGCTAGATCAAGTGCACTTGGTCTAGTGGTATCACCTCAGCATGCTGAGGGAAAGCAAATATCCCGATCGGGCCCTCTCTGGTTGCCTCGCGGGACGCGCAAGTTCGAGCCTCGCTCGAAATTGGGCGTGTACCAATCTTTTGCAGTTTTTTCGGACTTCAAATTTCTTATCTACTGTTGTGAAGTACGGTTAATGTATTAAATATTATTTGGCTTCATGTAAAAGGTGTCTTTCGTACTGGTTTTGGCAAATTTGAGTGAGTGGTAATAATTGTGAATAGCCTCATGTTGTGATTGTAGCCCTCCTCTTCTCCTAAAGCTCAGGACAAGCGATTCACTAAGCTGAATATAGGCGACTACCGCGAGTAGCTTGCTTATTGTCAAGGCTTGAACGGAATGCTCGATGTATATCTTAAGACGATGGCTCATTCCGGTGGCACGAGGACGCCTGCTCTCGGCCCTAACGCCAGATCTTCATTTCATCCTTCAAGAGCCCCCTGAGCGAGATCATAGTATAGCTACGATCTGATTATTGATGAAGTGGTTCGCTTTAGTATTCGTCGGATCGGCTAATGTCCGGAGACTATCGACAACGTCAGGGAAATTCATACATAGTCTTTGGATGTTGGGATACAGTCAAGTCGGTGACGAAATTGATTTCCGCTCGACACATCCGACAAGCAGTTCCACTGCTATTATCACTAGGATTAATATCTATTGAAAAGAGTATGTAATATCACGTACATAAGAAAGACTTTGATGCGAAAGAGGTAATGATTATGATATGAGTGGTGAAAGGGGTGCTTGTTAAGATGTATAGCAGGAAATCAATTTTGTCACCCACTTGACTGCCATGACCTACTCAGGCTTCTTAGTTATCAGAAAACCCTTTGGTTTCCCCTTTTAACTCCTTGGCTAGTACCATCGTGTATCGCCGTTTTATTGAATACTCCCCCAATGTTTGTTCCAGCTATGCCTTCTTTGATGACGGTCGCCCGTAGTGGCTGGGAGGATCTCATGGCGTGTTGCCAAAATCACTGGGGGCAATCTCGCAATGGGTTTTCAATCGCCGGTTTATATTGCACAAACATACGTGTGATACATAAGGGATCCTTCACTCCTTCGGCCATAACACGAGTGGATGCCTCTCCGCTGTCTCGATAACCGTGTGTTTCCCCTTCCAAATCGTGAACCCTTCAAGTTCACCAAATCGCCGTGCTAACCGTTGCTAGTTGAGCATTGTAAGTCCCGAAGTATTGATGCCCCATATCGCTTAGCCATAAGGCTATGAGCACTGCCCACGGAAGAATGCGCAGTAGTATGGCCTGTCCATCCATATCCATGAATATTCCCAGACATACCCCGATCACGATTCCCGTCGCTATAACGGCATCTTGATGTTTGTGTCTGTCGTTCATGTGATACAGCATCGACGCCCCGATGCCATAGGTGATCAGGCCGACCATCAGCATGCGGGGTGTCGGGGTCGCGAGGATCTGGATGACCTGCGCAGAAGGTATGCGTTAGCTAGTTTTCAGAAGAGAGTATACTATGCCACGGACCATTTGTTTCGGGGAGTTTCCTAAGAGATTTCCTATCCCTGAGTGCCATCCCTCGCCGGATACCTCAAATTGGGCGGAAAGTACAGCGTCCCAAGAAGTCGGAGGTTCGAGAGGTTCTCGCGTCTGGCCAAGAACAGCGTTCTCCTTCAGAATCATCGAGCCAAAAATCGTCCCCATCTCTGCTGCCAACTTCGCCATGCGACTCTTTGAATAGCGGGCAGATCTCTGCTTCCAGGCGCCAGGTGTCGAAGGCAAGGGTTTCAAGCCCAGTTTTTCCACAAAGTCCATGGAAAGGAATGTAGGCCTGAGTTCACGATGCTGAGAATTATATGCTGGTTGAGCCCTGTCGAGAAGCGCAGCAATGCGAATTTGCCCCCCTCGTGGAGCGGATGAGTTGACTCGATCAGCCATTTCGTAGATGTTCGATAGGTTGTCTGTAGCTTTCGTCCCTACAGAGTATCTCGAGTTGCTTCTTGTTGTTTTAGCAATGTTGCTGGCTGGTTCAACGCCTCTTCAGAACTCAAGTGCGGCCCAACTCCTCACCGAGCCTTACTGTTGCACTAGGTATTCGTATTGAGCACTGCCACGTAATCGAGGGCCAACCACATAGTCGGCCTCACTTCCACCGCGTTACACAGCATTTCAATCAGGCTAGCTGCCCAAAGAGACCTTGGGTTCCCTCTTTATGCCTCCTCCCCTCCTAACTTTGACATCTCGAAAGACAGCCATGCCCATCGTTCTTATCAACACTGGAACCCAACATCGAATACTGCATTCTCCCCAGTAAATCTACAGTTAGTCAATTACGTTTTGATGGAAATGCAAGACCTAGAGATCCAGCAGCTTGGGGAGCCGGCTCCACCAGAAAGGTCGGTGTCTTTGCCTCAGAGACTCCTGGGGCTTCCGGTAATCTATAGCATCGAGTACGTTTTGATTTGTTCTTTCAAACTTCGTGAGCAAAAGGGAGACTTACTGACACGAAGACCAATTGTCTCTCTAGAATCTGGCGTCATATCGGTATCGGGCGTCGAATCGGTGGACTTCGCCACGGCCGTACCCTCACGATACTGCGCAAAGTCGGAGGTGTTGCGGGAACAACCATATCTGTCTATATTGCGGTCGTGCACGATGAGCCTATTGCCCCGCTGCTTTACAACTGGTCTGTCTGGTCTTCACCAAGGCTTTCGGTATCTATTTACTAACGAGGGTAAACAGCCTTTGGTGCAGTGCTGCACTTGTGGACAGTGTACTCTTTCTCACATGGCGTCACATGTCCAAGATGCCCAACGCGTACGTGTTAGCCCCCAAGCGATAACAGAGACAACGAAACTTACAGTCTGAATCCAGCTACTCCATTCTGTTCATCCTAATGTCCTATGCGACTCTAACCACATTACTAAAGGGACCGGAGCTGGTCCTCGACAGGGTCCTGCCGGTGCTCCCTCTTGTTGCCATCTCAGGGGCATTCCTCGCCTCGCTCTTCTTAAGCATACATGAAAGCATCATGATCCCATCAGTTCTGGACGTGGAGCGTGGAGACCGTGCTGCCTGGGACGCGATTTCTTCTTGTCTGGTGTAAGCGGGCTGGGAGTTGGGTGGAGATGCTGGGTTGAAGTACTTCTTCTAGTAATTTTGATGTAAGTACTAGGAGAACAGGGATTTCAGTCGGGTAAAAGAAGGGTCGCGGCAAGACCGCATTTACAAACCGGAGTCTTGGAGCTGAAGGGTCATCTTGACCAGCTCGATTGATGACTAAAATATACATATTTGATTTTCACAGTAGCTATGGACGAAGTCCAGGGGTGGAATCAATTGGACTTTCAAAGTTAACTGTGATGTTGCGCTTCTTGGTATGCTTTTGAGGATTAATACCGATCCAATCAGCAACTTCCATCACCGTTTCTTACCAGGCCTTCCATTCCTACTTGAATACAGCCGCTACCAGGTACCAAGTCCACACTCACAATCTCATGTCGTTCATCATCTCCACGGTAAATCGCAATAGTCTCTCAAGCTATAGACAAGTCGAGACCGCAGCAGCAGAAGAGTCTGGACATTCTTACCCCTTCTGGGCGGCCAATCCCACCATTGACAGATTGAAATATGGGAATGCCCCCGTCCGCAAGGTCCGAATAGATGGATAGACCATTACCACCTTGCTTTATGCGGCCCCCTAATTAAACGCTCTCATAGAGACTATGGCTGCGGTGTAGTTAAGTGGGTGACAAGATCAAATACCGGCCAACAAAAGATCGTAATACTTATTTACGACCTGATCATTCTTTCTAGCTCTCTCATCATCATCATTCTTTTTTATTTCATTTTAAAGGAAAAAAAAACCCCCCTTTTTAGCTACGTTTCTATTGTTACTTATACACTATGTATCATCACTAGAGAACGTACAGCAGAAAGAAACATAGCAGAAAAAGAGCTATGGTTCATAGTACGGCAAACGATTATGTCACCCACTTGGCTCCCTCTTCCACTCACGCCTCGATGTAGTCAAAACCAAGCGTCGGTGACAGTCCGTTCACCACCCTCACCTCGGTGAAGGCCCGTCAACTCTTCGACCCCAGACCCCAGCAGACCCATTACCTTTTACCTAAAAATGGAGAAATCCTCGGTTCCTAAACCCCGACCATGCCCGAAACTCAGAGCCACCCCATGTCTCCATCAAATGCACCTCGGGATTCCCTCCCGCGAACCAGCGACCCAGCGGCGCAAAAAAAAGTTTCGCGAAGACGAACGACCGACCACATCCTTCAACAGCAATTCATGATTCGCCTGTATCATTCGCTACCGCGTTGTACTCCGTATGCAGGCAGCAAATCCCTTTCGATTCCCGAGCCCCCTCGAGCTCGATCTACGACTACAGAGACCCAGTCTTGGGCCCAGTTTCCCTAATGCATCCCCAAATCCTCTCACGCGTCCTTAAAACCCCCCAATCACTCCCCAGGATTTCCCCCTTTCTGGGTCCCGTCGTCTCCGGTACCAGCGAGCCGGCAGACAAGTTCTTCAGCCCGAGTCCGAGGACGAGGACGAAGCCATTGAGACCATGGACGGCCCATAGACGTTGTATACACGGCCGCAGAGGTGAAAGCGACGCTGGCGAGAATGGTATAGTCAGTACGGGATATTACACGTGCAAAACGGTTCGTCGCACGCCGCAGCAGCAGCGGGAGCTTCGCGCGAGGCCCAAACCCCTCAATTCTTCCTCCAATCAGCGCCCCACGCCCGCTTCTGACATCATGCCGAGCGCCGGCGCGAAGCTCCAGCTGGGGCCGCCGCTGCTGCAGCACATGTCCGTCCGAAATTTGTCGTCGCAGCGGCGGGCAACACAGACAACAAAGACGACCCTGGGAAATAATGCCACGGCAGAGGCCAACAACGGCAACGGTGTTCGTGCGGCTGGAATAGACGCCAGAGCTTCACCAGACGAACAGTCTACCAAGAACACCTCGTCTCAGTCAAAGTCTCAGTCCCCCGCCGTTCGTACTACCACCACCAATACCACCAACCAGCCTCCTCGTGGGACGGCATATTTAGCTAGACAGTCAGTCATCATCCACACACAAGAACCACAACCTATACCTGCACACACACGTATCCTATTCCCGAGTCCTATCGCCTCGTGCTCCATCGCGAAATCCACGATCCCGACTTGTTCCCGTCTCCCCCCGTACCCGCCCCGCCTCCCACGCCGGCTCCTACGGCCCCCTTTGCTTTTGCGCGTGCTTGCGGAAACAAATCCCGTACAACCCCAGGGGCGCTGTCGATTTTGCTCTTCTCTCCGCGTGATACCCCCCGTGGTCCCCCCGACCCTCCTCGTTCCCCATTGAAGTCCCCAGAGCCCCAGCTTGCTTAGTCTTTAGCTTCTTCTTCTCTTCCTCGGCCCCTCTCTTGTCTCCGTTACCTTTTCCCTCAAGATACCCCTTGTATTTCCTCTCTTTGTGTCTCACTCTCACTCCTACTCCCCTTCTGTCCTCCTCTTCCTCTCCCTCCTCTTCTTGACTTACCAACAACCTACCACCACAGCAGCGGCGGCACCGACAACACAATGGCCGAGACGAGAGAAACCAAGCGCCCGCGCGTGGCCGCAGACCCGGCCGAACACCTCCCAGCCGGCATCACAGAGACCCAAGAAGAACTCAAAGAACATTGGTTCGTAGGCAGCATAGATCAAGGCACGACCTCGACTCGCTTCCTCATCTTCAACGGCCTCGGTGACCCTGTGGCAAGCCACCAGATCGAGTTTGAGAACCACTACCCGCACTCGGGCTGGCACGAGCACGACCCCCTCGAGCTCCTCTCCTCCGTCGAAGAATGCGTCGAAAAGGCAATGGCCCAGTTCGCTGAACAAGGCTACTCCGCTGCCAACATCCGTGGCGTCGGCATCACCAACCAGCGCGAGACCACCGTCCTCTGGGACGTCCGCACCGGCGAACCCCTCCACCACGCCGTTGTCTGGCCCGACACCCGTACCACCTCCCTCGTCCGCGAACTCCGCGCCCGCCCCGGCGCAGACGCTCTCCAGGACCTGTGCGGTCTGCCCCTGTCCACCTACCCTTCCTCCGTCAAGCTCCGCTGGCTCCTCGACAACGTCCCCTCCGTCCGCGAAGCCTACGATGCGGGCCACCTCGCCTTCGGCACCGTCGACTCCTGGCTCATCTACCGCCTCAATGGCGGCGCAGACAAGGGCGACGACGCGATCCACGTCACCGACTCGACGAACGCCAGCCGCACAATGTTCATGAACCTCCGCACCCTCAAGTACGACGACACCCTCCTCTCCTTCTTCGGCATCGACCAATCCAAGATCCACCTCCCCAAGATCGTCCCCTCCTCTGACCCGACCGCCTTCGGCTCCTTTGCTCGCGGCGTCCTCAAGGGCGTACCGATCGCGGGCTGCTTGGGCGACCAATCCTCCGCTCTCGTCGGCCAGTGCGGCTTCTCCCCGGGCCAGGCAAAGAACACGTACGGTACGGGCTGCTTCCTGTTGTATAATGTTGGCGAGGAGCCCGTCATATCCAAGTCGGGTCTGCTGGCTACCGTCGCGTACGATTTCGGCAAGGGTAGAAAGCCCGTGTACGCCCTCGAGGGCAGCATCGCAGTCGCAGGCTCGGGCGTCAAGTTCCTCGTCAAGAACCTTTCTTTCGTGGAAGACTCGTCTCGCATCTCGGAGCTGGCTGAGACCGTACCTGATAACGGCGGCGTCGTCTTCGTGACGGCCTTTAGCGGCCTCTTTGCGCCATACTGGATAGACGACGCAAAGGGAACTCTGTGTAAGTCATTATCTCCCAATCAATACCACTCACCTTACTAACATGCCCAAAACAGTCGGCATCACAGCCCACACCCAAAAGGGCCACATCGCCCGCGCGACACTCGAAGCGACATGCTACCAGACAAAAGCCATCCTCGACGCCATGGCCAACGACTCGGGCCACGCCCTCGAGAACCTCGCCGTCGACGGCGGCCTCTCCAACTCAGACCTCTGCATGCAGTCCCAGGCCGACATCAGCGGCATCCGCGTCGACCGCCCCGCCATGCGCGAGACGACGGCCCTCGGGGCCGCCATCGCCGCCGGCCTCGCGCTGGGCGTCTGGGACGAGCTCGAGGACCTCAAGCACGTCAACCAGAACGGGCGTAAGATCTTTACGCCCGCGCTCGACAGGGAGACGAGCCAAAAGATGTTCAAAAAGTGGGAGCAGGCTGTCGAGATGTCTAGGGGTTGGGTGCGTGATAATGCGGAGTAGAAAAGTGTAGAAAGCATGTGGGTTTGAAGATTTTGTTCGGAGTACTTGGGTATACAGAAAAGGAGAAAGAAGCCTATTTTTTTTTTTTTTTGGATGGTGGTATGATATTGGGGGAAAGTTGGTTTCGTTTAGACAGGATACCTATCAAGTCAGCTTCTTGTCTTGCTTGCCTTTCGCACCCACTCACCCATCCACACGGGGAAGGCGCAAATGTGATCCGTCATCTCAGGTATCCCTCCACCCCTCCTTCCCCCCACATCAAATCACGAGATACTCGCATGACATGCGCATGAGCAACACGACGAATTGTCACCATCTTCAAAGCACGTTCGCGGTCTCAAATTCAGAGGTATCATCTTTATTCTCATCTGTCTCACAGATGACCCCACGGTCGGGAGTCTTCCATGTCCACGGCACATCGAGGGAGATATCCTCCAAGCTGGGTGACAGCCCTCGACACCGTTCGTACGAAATTGGGGACCATCATCTTTCCCAAACGCAAAAAAGTAAGTAAAACATCGCAAAGCCAAGTGCTTTTCTGTGCTCGCCAAATGATTTCCCCCTGCCGACGCCAGCCAAAAATGTAGTGTTTGGTTTCCGCCCCCGTTTCTTGAAGTTTGAAGACTCATGAGTGGAGTGGTGAATCGTATCGCAACTTGAAATTAGAAAGTCGATAAGAACAGGCGTGCAGACAAGAAGTGTGAAGAGCGCGGACCCTCAGAGTGTTCGTCCAGGCCCGGGTATAGTGTTTTTTCCGGTTGTTCGGTTCTGGTTTTACATGATGATGGCGGGGATGTCAACGTTGGCCTTGATGCTCTTGTGGGGGAGAATGCTGCCACCGTTGACGTAGATCTCGTCGCCAATAGTCACGTCGTCGCCGAGGACAGTGACGTTCTCAAGACGAGCCCACTTGCCAACAGTGCTGTTCCAACCGACAATAGTGCTCTTAACCCACGCATGATCCTTGACCTTGGAACCGGGCAGCAGAACGCAACGCTGAAGACGGCAGCCGTCGCCAATAACGACGTTGGGGCCGACCGTCACGTTGGGCCCAATCTTGCAGTGCTTGCCAATCTTGGCAGAGGGGTCAATCAGAACGTTGCCGCCGTGGACGTAAGGCTCTGAGGGGGAGGCAAGCTCCTTGGAACCCTGCTTAGTGAGGGAAGTGAGGTACAAGCAGGTGCCGGTAAGGAAGTCCTTGGGCTGACCGACGTCCATCCAGAAGCCGGGGAGATCAAAGCTGTGCAGCTGACCATCCTTGACGATGGCGGGGAAGGTCTCCTTCTCGATCGAGGTGGGGCGAAGCTCAATGCGCTTGAGAACACTGGTGTTGAGGATGTACATGCCGGCGTTGATGCGGTTGCCAACAAACTCGACGGGCTTCTCGACGAAACGGTCGATCTTGGTGGGGTGATTAGGCTTGTGGACAACGACACCGTACTTGCTAGGCTCCTCGACCTTGGTGACCACAATGGTGCCCTCATCGCCATGGTTCTTGTGGAACTCGGCCAAGTCCTTGAAGGGGAAGTCGCAGATGACATCCGAGTTCAAGACGAAGAAGGGGGTGTCGTCCTTGGCAAGAATGCTCTCGGCCAGCTTCAAGGGACCAGCGGTATCGAGGGGCTCGGTCTCGACGGAGAAGGTGATGTTCAAGCCGAACCTCTTCTCGTACTATGGATGGAGGAAGTCAGTATTTATTATGGTAGCTGCAGAGGGGAAGCTCATGGAAAGACCCACCTCTGCCAAGTGCTTCTCCATAACCTCGGGGCGGTAGTTGACAGCGAGGACAACATCGGTGACGCCAGCAGCAGCAAGAGCCTCGATCTGGTGCTCAATCATGGGCTTGTTCGCGAACTCGACCAGGGGCTTGGGGAGGGTGAGGGTCTGCGCATTGGAAATACCAGGTCAGTAACATATTCGATCAGTGTGGAAGGTAAAGCAGCCGCTGGCAGAAATCTGCTGCTGCTGTATGCTGTGTTCAAGCTAGGGAGAGGAATGAACGTACCAGAGGGCGAAGACGAGTGCCGAAGCCGCCGACGAGAATAATGGCTGTTCGAGCAAGTTAGCAAGTTTGCGTCACTGCCGACCACATATTGCGCCTGCCGCCGGCCAGCCTCGAGTATCGCAGATCGATGGGCAAGGCTGGGACTGGGGCGGGCTGAAGCGCATGTAGCTGTTCGTATGGGGCGAGTGCTTACCCTTCATGTTGATGGTATTGGAGTTGAAGGGTTAGGTGATGGTTTGATATCGTTGTGCGACGCAGAGAAAGGAAGACGTGGTAGCTTCCGTGGGTGAGGTGCGTATGTAAACGAGTGTGTGAAGAGTTGAAAGAGGGAAGAGGTTCTCTTGGCCTGGTCGGTGTGACTGAATTTGGCAACAAGGGGAAGCTGCGCTTTTTCGGAGAGGAGGACAGGCGTGTATTTGATTGAGGTGACCACAAGGGTAGCTCTGCAGTTCCAGAAATGGACGATTAGAAGGTTGTTAAAACAGAGAGAGACAGGCGTGCCTTTTCTCGAAAAGGGTATACAATGGAATCCTGCTTGTGGAAAGTAGAACCCGAAGATGGGAAAGTGGAAGAAGACCTTTTGGGAGGAGAAAGTTGCAAAAGGCAAGAGGTTGAGCGAGTGCAGTGAAGGAAGCCACGAGGGGAGTTCAGAAAGTTGGGATGGGGAAAAAAGGGAGGTCAGAGGTCCACGGTTGGTCAGTGGTCAGTGGTCACAGATGGGAAGGCAGAAAGAGCAGGAGAGACGCGAAAAGAGGCGCAGGGTGGTGAGGGAGAAGGCACCTTCAAAAATGACACGACATCTGTACCCCCCAAGGTCCCGGTCAATTGCAAGCTGCAAGTCACTCAACACTGCGTTTTCTATGGTGCGGTACTTTGACCGGGCTGCCTGCGATCGCAATCAATTGGGGGCAGCACGGCAAGAAGCACAGGGCACCCAAAGGGGGGAAAGAGAAGGGGCCCAGGGGCGGAATGGGGGGTTCGAACGGGTACACTAACGGGCGGGATTAGCACCAACATGCTGGGCTGCAAAGTGTCTGGCATTTTGATACGTTGTTCTAGACTTTTTTATACCTATCCCAATCAGAGCCATTCACCATTCCACGTTGCCTGCCCGGATGGACTAGATAATTTGGCGATGCTCGAACTCTGACGTTCCAATTATAGCCTAGAGACAGAAATACTCTTGTAGCTGGATGAGGTACTCGAGAGATTTGAGGTTGTTGATTACCAAAGGAAGGTAGGACTGTTCAACGTTCTTTCCTGGTTCATCGAAATTCAGGGTACGTAGACCGGAAGACGTACCGTCCCATGGCCAATGCGGAATCCCATCCAATGGCCTCCCTCCTCTCCCCGTGCGCAGCGCCCCCATGTGATCCCATCGTCCAATCCCATCCCGTCAACTAGAGTGGGGCTCCGAGGCGAGAGGAGGGAAAAAAAAGAAGAAGTCGCAAAGTCTAGGGAAGGAAAGGACCATGCTGCCATGCAACAACGCTACGCCGCAACGCCCAGCCCAGCCCCAAGCTCAGGCAAGGCCCAGCTGTCAGGGGCTGCCACCCATCACTTTCTCCAGCTTTTCGACTTTCGCTCCCGTCCTACCGAGTACGCTCCTCTACTCTATCTGTACAAAGCATCGATTTCCAAACTCAAAAAAACCACTATCCGCACGAAAGCACGAGCACAGCCGACGAGACTACAGAAACAGCTACATACAAGCACGAAAACATACATACCCTCCCGGCGATCCGTGTGTGGGGATAGGTACCGGTACTCCCTACTAGGTACACCATCACAAGTTCACAACACGTTCGGCAATGGAAGAGGCACTATACTCGGCCCTCCGAGCCTTTCCAGGTTCTCAATGGCCGCAACAGAGAGAAAAAAGTGGAGGTGTAGCTGCACGATGGGGACTTTGAGGACTCGACGTTCCAGTTCGAGATTGCGGCGACTCGTCGGCCCCAATGGCAACATAACTCCTGGCGCATAGCACATTGCATTGGCACACAAGCACATCACCTCATCCTGCCAAACACATTCGAGTTTCCGCGAGGCCTCGTCAACCCAGCCTTACCCCCAATTTCCCCTGCCGAGATTGACGAATTTGCCCATGCCTGCCCTCCGCCCTCCCTTGCTTGTCGCTGCCGCTCGCAGTCTCGTCTTCAAACTCCAAGCCAATTGACGGTGCACAGCATCTCTACCATCCTTAGGGGAGAGACGTCAAAACGGTAGACCGTCGTACGCCGCAAGCCGATACTGGACCGCCCGTATGAAGTCCGCATCTGGACGTGCCGCGGGGGCCACTGTCTCTAGAGTCTGGCTCGCTCGAAACCTAGACTGCAAGGGCTCTCCCTACAGATTCGAAGACAGCTGACCGGCGGGCCCGTACTAAATTCGCGACTTTTGCCTCCCCTTGTGCCCCGGATCATGGATGCGCATCTCTGCCCGTCCGTCAGCATCACGGGAACAGATGCTGGGGAACCGGGAAGATCAAGCCTTGGGGAGGAGACAAGAGGATGCTCACGCCCGGGACACGAGCTTTCTTCAGCTGCAGGGCTCGGCCGCTCGTGTTGTGTTTACGAATCCATGCCGCAATTACGACGAATGCCAGCGTCGCATCCCTTCCTTGGAGCTATCAAGCCTTCAAACTCACATCTCTCCCTTGGCATCCTTTTTCCTCTTCGATTGGTGAGCATGTCTCGGCGCGTTCAAGAAGCAGCGCCTCGCCCACATTGCGCTGCAACAGGCCAACAGCTCTCAATGATCATGGCCAAGTCAGGACAGATTTCGCCTTGACGCCTCAGCTAGTGGAGTCGCTCATCCCACCTCATGCTACACGTCGTCCAATGCCGCGGCAGAAATCCCCATCTCGTGACTAGGAAAGCTGGGGTGGAGGAGTAGTAGGGAAAGTCGCCCCTCTGTGCAAAGCCACATTGATTTCCAGGAAAATCGTCAATTGAGCCACCCACGCTGGGGGCCTTGAGAGGGGAATGCCTTTGTGCCATGGGCCCGGCGGAGAGGATCCTCAAATCGCTCAACATGCGACGTGACGTACGTGTTCACCTCCTCTCCTTTCAAACAACCGCGTCACGGCCCACGATCCATCATCCCAAGCCTCTGCTGTGTATGGAGTAGGGGGCAACGTAGGCAGTCACAGTTCCAGAACGCTTGACGCCGCCGATAAGTGGGGGTCACTGAACCAACGTGACATGCTACCTCAAACTTGAATGAGAAGAAAACCCACAATCCACATCCCGGGACTGCCCGGCGTCGAATTTCGGCCGTGGTCATTTTTGCCATTTGGCTTCTCATGCTGCTCCTCAGCATACCAGCCTGCAACTAGTCTCGCAAGCCTGTAGGCAGTGGGCAGTGACAGGTTCCTTCAGTTCCATCTTTGGTTTTCTTTCCTAATGTCGAGCCATGATCTCTCACCGTGTCCGTTGGATCCCTCTGTCACTAATCAACTTCTGGAAGGGGTAGCCCGGTCCTCCCCACCCTTCCGTGCTAAGATCCGAATAAACCCCGGCCCGAGATCCGCACCACGCCACACGGACTCCCGCTCCGTCCGTCCCATCCCACGGATACACTCAAACTTTCAACGACCAAAGGCAAACAGCAGATCATCCGAAACTTCCAGCCAGGCATTTCATCTTCTCCCTCCTGCGTGGTTTCTGTGCAAAGATGCCGGGAGTACACTCCCGCTGTGGAGCAATGCGAGATCATTTACGCATAGTCAATGCATATCAAGGCAGGATAATGTTCTGGAATGGACGGAACATACCAAGCGAATCCTCTCACCCGTGATTGAATAAACAACACCCGCCCTCTTCCCATCCAGCTCGAGCACACAGGATAGAACGGAAGGAAAAGTGAATATGCATAATTGGCAAGGCAGGATCGGCAGTCCAGAACAGGGACAAGAATGATGCGGATGACATGCTGAGGTTATCTACGACGTTTATCCAAGGTACTTTGCTCAAGTGCACCGGTATCGTCCCAATCCAAAGCTACAAGTACCTCGAATACTTTCTCGCGAACACAGAAGCATGCAAACACCAAGTATTGTCACACGTCCATCTCCCTTCTCTCATCACCCCTGCTCGGTTCGTCAGAACGATCTGATACTATAAGCCAAGGTGGGCTTACTCGCTAAATGGCGGGTGCGTACATGGCAAAGCACCGCGCCGCCTGATACCTTAGTTAGTACCTTACCTTGCCGGTCAGATTGGAACCACCGAGACATCATCCACTTTCCGACTCCTCGGCTCCGGTGGAACTTAGCTCCCCACCACCGACCATCACCGTTGAATCCCGTCCTGCCTCTCTACACCCTCCGGGGAATCCGGCAAGCTGCCGGTACCAGGCTCCATCGAGGCTCCACGTCAATGTCAATTTCACGAACCTCTACCCAAGTTTACGAGATGACCACAGCAGCATCCGATTCATCACTTCTCCTTCAACCTCCCTCCCATGTCATAGTCACCTAGCATAAAGTTCAACAGTCTTTGCAAAAAAGGAGCTTGAAAGCGTTTTGTTTTTATTTCTTTTGTGATCGTCTTTGTTCTTGCCATCCATACCATGAAGTCTTTGTCGTTAAAATTTGGTCGTTATCATCATCATGAGCGTCGCAGAGGCGTCCGCATATAAGATAGGAAAAAGGCGTAGGATCATGAGAAATTCATCATCATCCCCCCCCTCCCCCCCCACCCCCCCCCCCCCCCCTCTTCTCTCTCGCCTATTCTTCTCGCACCAACAGTCTTATCAGCCTCGTTGCCTTCAAACGTCTCTCGTCATGTTATCTTGGTTCTGCCAGTCTTTCATCATATCCATCGTGCTCTCAGCTTGGCCAAAAGGCCCTCATCCAGTCTCGTCAGATCCTCCCAAAAAGTCGTACGAAAAGCGTAATAATCGTAAATGAACCCCCTTGAAAAAGGAATCAAGATGTAATTCGAGATGCTGAACCTCTCCCAGGCACCATCAATTTCGTCGGAGATGCAGGAGAAAGAAGAAGAAAAAAAAACGTATGCTTCGCTTTTGAGGCAATGCGTAAGGGGGCGTGGCTCTTCTGGCCGTCTTTAAGCCATCCTCCCACCCCAAATGACCCCCTGATTTTTGTCTCGAAAACAAGAGCAGAGAATGAAGAAAAAACCAAAATGTCGAGTCCACGTCTCAAGCTCATGTGAGTCTAACCGCCCCATCATCGTCATATGTTCCAATCTGTGTGGTAATTCGTCATTTTCGAGCAAGCAATGAAGGAAGAATGTGGTTCCAGCTTAGTCGAGGGCGTACCCTGAGCAGGAGGAACAAAATGCGCAATGCAGAAAGAATTGTCAAGAAGGAAAGATGGTCGGTCGGCCAGAGTCGCCTCCGGTTGTTGATCCGTTCGGATAAATGAAGGACAGCCCCTGACTGGTACTGTACAATCCCAGCCAAGCGCGCGGTCATCAAAAAGTCTTGAAAGTAAAGAGAGAAAAAAAGTCGAATCCGAGAATGGGCGACGAGAGAAGAAACGCATTTTGTCCGAAATTCGAAGGAGACCGGCCGGAAGAGTTATGAAGTGCAGAAATCAGATGTGCCGCGCGGAAACCATGATTCTAGTTCATTAAGTCGTGAAGAGTCGTCGCAGTTGGAAAATATGCGTCGCTTTTTGCCCGTTTTGTTTTCTCCCCCAACATCTCTCTTTGACCCTGTGACCTCCCAGAGCAGCCGTCTGGAGGCGTCGTCTTCTTTCATAGGCTCAATCAGCTGCGAAGCTGTTCCACCTTATAATAGTCGTCGTCTCGAATCCCTGCCGCCACGTAACGCAGGGATTCAGGCTACCTGCCTATCTTTAGTCGAAAGAGGCCGTAGAGCTGCTGCTCGAATGGTGACCAGATCGACGGTGGCTGTCTCGCGAGCTGTGACTGGATGATGTGTGGCGGCTCTTCTTGGAGCGGCGAGCAGGCTCAGTGGCCGGAAGCCCCTGAACGATGCCATTGCGAGCCAGCATGCCGCCGTTGACGGAGAAGTTGCGGCACACCATGAAGGCACGCATGGCGGCGTTTTCCTGGGCCAACGAGTCGGATTGATACGCGAGATCCGTCTGGTACTCGCGTCCGTTGACCAGAACCAAGCAGGTGTAGCCGCTGTGATCGCGGTAACACTCGTAAGAAGGGTCGTTCCATCCTCGTCGCCGGCAAAGACCTAGATTGGATCGGTTAGCCCCAGATCTTCTTCTGCAAGTCATTCTGAGCCAGTCTTGATGGCACAGCTGAGGGAGAACAGCGGATACACGCCTCTCAACGACGTTATGCCATCTGTATCCGAGCCCAATCCACTCTCACAGACTTTTCCCCCCTTGCGAACCCTGCATGCCGTTCCTGAAGAGAGCCGCAGCGAGAAGCTGACGTCGATCCCCGGACATAATGCCACGTCCCGACTCGTTGAGAGTCACCACGAAACGGGAGACGCATGTCATTCCCGCCATTGACAGAATGCAGGGGTAGGGCACACGATCTGACCCAGTTCTCCAGGTCATCATGGACAGCCCCACTTATACGGACAATGGCGATGACGAGGTTCAGGGAAGCATTGGGCTCCAACAATCCATCTACAAAACTCAATTGATGACTTACTCTCGAGGTACTGCATGTAGAAGCCGCCCATGTTGGCAGTTATTCCCAATGGGTCGATTAAGAGAAGCGGTGGTGGTTCTGAGATGCAGGTCCAGATCCAGGCGGGGGAGACGGGAAAGACCGTAGCAGGGGAGAGCAGTTGTCTCAGAGCAAGAAGGAAGAAAAAGTGAAGCAATGCGACGAGGGTTGATTCCTATCCAGACAAGGGGACCAAAGATGCGGACGCCGTGAGATGCAATCGAGCCCAACGGTGAGGCGAGCAGAGAGATCTGTGGTCGGGGATGTGATGGGATGGGATGGGCTGGGCTGAGCTGGCACGCACTCTACGCACCACGCGCCAAAGCAATGCTGGGAGGGTCGTATGTAAGGCGTAGGGCAGAAATCCGGGGCGTGGTCGAGGGTAGGCAAGTATGTAAGGTATGAGTTGTTCAACGAGATGTAAGGTAGGAGAAAGTGAGCTGGAATCGGCCAAGTTTCTCGATGTTTTCGTGGTTCCCAGGTTGGAGAAGTAAAAGCCTGAAGAGGTATGGGGGGACAAGATGAAGAAAGTCGGTGGAAGGGGTGTTGATGTGTTGTTACTTGTGAGTGTGTGCGTGTACGGAGTATTGAAGGTGGTGTGTGTGGGTGGGTGGTGTTGTAAGTTAAGCTACGTATCCAGGGCTTCCGTCTCTCGGGTTGCAGGAAAGCATCTGAGCCATGAACGGAGAGACATGTGTCTGCTTTATTGCAGAAAAAAAAAGAGGTGCCTTTCTCTTTTTTTTCTTTCTCTCTCTCGTGCTTCTGGGCTTGTCAACGGAACTAGTGCGGGGGCAAGGGGGAGGGGTGGAGGGGGTGGTGGTGGTGGTCAAGCAACAACAAGTCCAAGTCCAAGTTCAAGTCCAGGTCCAGGTCCAGCATCAACTTGGTAAAGGTACTTGGACATAACATCGACACTATCCGTAGCAGTATGTGGTATTGGAGAGCTTCGGCGGCAACGGCAGCGGCAGGAAAAGGAAATGAGGGACCAGGCAAGAAAGAGGGGAATGGAGCTGTGTACCTCACTACCTTGGCTAGGAGGAGGAGAAGACAGACGAACGAGGAAAAGGTCAACAAGCAAGCGACATACAGGGCGTTTCTGTCCGTCTGTTCGGTCAGTCTGCTGCATCTCTGGAGTCTGGGCAGGGACGTGAACATGGAAAGCCAGACGCCGAACCCACAGGGGGGGAGAGCAAGAGAGGTAGAAAAAAACGGGCACTGCGGAAAGAAGTGCACAATGACAATGGGGGCGCTTCTCTCAATGCCCCCTTCTTTTTTTTTTTTTTTCCCTCTCTCTCTCTCTTAATTCTTTTTGGTTCGAGATGCAAGCGGCGATGCGGCTCTCGAAAGAGTGTGACCCATGCTTTGCTGCGTTGGCTCGCCTCGTTGCCAGTTGATAAAAACCGCTGGAGACTAGACAGCTCCACAACGACACACTGAAGAGGGGGGGAGGGGGGTACCAGCATCATCGCTGGGCAAGGGCCCAAGGGCCAGGGATGGGCGGACGAAGATCTGTCTCTCTGCTGCTGAGACTTGGAGGGAAAGGTCCCCTGCTCGTCCATTAGTCTCCCACTCTCTCCAGTCTTGCTGGCCCAGTCCCCTGGTCGCTCATCTCGAGGCCCGGTCGTTCGTTGGAGAGTCCGACCTGTAGCAGATGAGTATCGAGGCCTGGACTGGAGAATCGACGAGGTATCTCGATAACGTTGCCCCGTACGGGACTTGACCGCAAGGTCCGACATGCTTCGGTCTTCAGATGCGTAGGAGGAGCCACAGAGCTTGTCACTGCTCGTGGCGCTTGACGGTCCCGTTCAAGCTTCTCCTTCTAGGGCACTTCGACTTTTCGAAATGTAATCTGTGCTGCCGCCGGTCGTGCCGCCGAACATCGACCGACTTACACTTTATTCTGTTTTGGGCCCAGCTTGTGGTTTGCCCACGACATCATCGTCACAAGCAAAGGCGCGCGCCTCTGGTACATACGTACATGGTCGAAACTTTGGACGAAGTCTCTCCGACCATGTGGCCCGCCGGGTCGCATAGCGGGCTGCCTTAGCTTCTCTGGGGCTACAGCAGAAATGTCGAGGGCGAATTGTGAGACGAAAAGGACTGAGAGAAAAACAAAAAAGAGGAAGAGACTGACGAGGGCTGCAAATTTGCAAAGCCGGTGGCAAAATGGAACCATACGGACATGTAGGACCCCAATCTGGCGAGGCGAGCTGGTCCTCCTCCGGCGGCGCACAAGAGGTCTGGTACGTTGCTGTTACTTGATCGAAGAATCTGCCAAGTAACTCTCGTCGAAGAGTTTACTTGACGTGCGGGATACGCTGGTCCCGAGTCCGGGCTTCCATGGCCTTTGATTGAATTGTTTCGGGCTGGCGGCGAGTCAAACCGCCAGAGCATGCTTATTTGCTTTTCTGGCTCCTCCGAAGAGGGATGTGCCTAGTAGTGTATAGGAATGCCCTATCAAGTGACCGTGGAGAAGAGAGAAAGAGACAAAGGATGACTGATGCGAAATCGATGCCCTAAATTTTTCGTGTTAGCGGCGACTACTGCACCTGTAATCAACTATCGAGTAAAGGGCCGGTTGGCACTTGTGGACAATTCCTCAGCAACCTGTCAGACCGTAGACGTGCCGTCTTTGTCGGCTCCATGGTACTGTTGCTGTCATTGTCACCGTCGCTGGTGTTGTCCAATGTTTCCACCGCTCATTGTTGGTCGTTTTGTCACAGGCCGAGCGCCAATATGTTGTTGTTGAGATATGCCATCCATCGTCATGTATGTACGTATGAGGCCATGTACATTGCTCGCTACTTTAGGCTTGCGTGCATTTATTGACTGCGGTCAACGAGCGTCTCTGCGGGGGCAGCAGGACGCATGCGGTGGGTTCGGACTCGGAGTTGAGCAGAAGAGGACCCCCCAAACCAAGCCAAACGTCGAGATTGAATTCACCATGCCACCCATGACCCATCCTGCTGGCTGCTTGCTGCTTGCTGCTCGCTTGTGTTGCGGGACCCGAGGTTGGGGGATTGGAACCATGAAGAAGAGGAGGTATCCGTACGATGTAAAGCGTCTCCGGCAACTTGGAAGGTGACATTGTGATACCAAGAGAGAAGGACGATGAACCTAGAAGTCGAAGAATTGGCGTTCGTCTGTGCCATGTCAGGCAAGGCCTGGCCGTGCGCTTCGATGCTAGCTGGGACAGGGTGAGGACAGCGCCAGGCGCCGGGGCCCACGTTTGGGATCATCGGTGGCTCCCAATGATGTGCAGCGATGGCGGGCGATTCGCACGGCATCATCAAAGTCAAAACCGCCTGTCGGCCAAAGTCGTCTCGTAGGCTAGCAATTGTATCCAGTCAGAGACGGCCAAAATTGAAATCCTTCTCCAATAGCTCAGCGAATCACCGGCATAGAAAATGGATAACCCCCCCCCCCCTCCGGGGAGCGAGAATGTAGTTATACTCCGGTACAGATACAGACTGGGCTCGTTGCGGTGACGGATCAAGGTACTGCCCTAGAGCGGCAAATCAGCGCTTGCTGGGCTACCGGCCGTTCGTTGGCTCAGAGTGCGAGCCAGGGTGCCGCCTAAAATAGAGACCCCCGGAGCGATGAGCGACGAAGGATAGACGAGAGCGAGCGAGCGGTAGTCGACGGCGAGACGCTGGATCTCTAAGGTTGTTCATGGTGCGGCGGCTGCAACTCCCAGGGTTCTGCCAATACTGATTTTCAAATCCCATGAATGATGGGGGCGACGGCCGCCAGGGAATAAGGTGAAGTCGGTGGCACCTGGTGACCGAACGGCGGGCCTCCGTTCGAGGTTCAAGGGCCCCCGGCAGGCGGCATCGTCCCCCGCGGGCAGGATTGCAAGGTCGGTGAAGAGGTCATCTCTCAAGTCTTGTCACCGTGAGCTAAGAGGGTAGCAGACGACGTGCATGAACACTCTGAACGCCGAGAGATGGCTTTGAGAGTGGGTTCGACGGGGGCGGCGAGATCCATCAACATGGAATAGCTTCCCCCTCTCTGACTTTGAGAACCCGAGCCAATGTTGCTTTCTCACGTCGGAGTGGGATGAGCAGCATGGAATCGATAGGGAGGGGGTACGCTGTAATCGGCTCCGCAGGCAAATTATATCTCGCTTCTCCATATGCAAGAAGCATGTCCCTCTGTCCACTTCCCCTCTCTCTGGTATATTGCGAGAGTTACAGTGTTCGCCGCAGACTACCTAGATCGAAAAAGGACCCTCTCTCCTGCTGTAAGGTGAGGCAAAAGTTAAATAACTAAAGCGATGATGGCGGCGAGTGTGGAGGGGCAGGATAAGAGGAGGAGGGGGAGAAGAAAAAATAAAGCCACGCGAATGCAGACCGTTAGATGGCCGAAAACGGACAACGACGGCGACACCACCGAGAGGGGTGTGAGGACGGTGAATACCTAGGTCTGTATGCATTGAAAAGGCCGTGAATGCGTGGTGAGGTCAGGTAAGGTGAGGTACCTCCGATGGAGGGGGACAGGAGGCTATCGGAGGGTTCGAAGAAGACGTTGGAGTGGTTGATATTGTGTATTCTGTGTCGTGCTGTTGTTCCGTAGTTGGTGGATGGTGGGCGTGGGGAAACGAGACGAACGTGACCTCGGTTGTTGTCGAGTATCCGCCGTACGAGGTGAGCGGTAATTACAAGTTGTTGTAGCCGTCGTCGATGTCGATGTCCCCATCGTCTCCATTTCGTATGTTGTTGGTTGTCTGAAGAGGAGGCGGACGACGTGGTGGCGCAGAGGAGGAGACGAAGAAACATGGGTACTTGCACAATCACGTAAGTTCAGTACGTATCTTGGGTACTCGCAGTGGGAAAGAGCAATCTGGAGGCAGTAAGGTACCTACCTAGGTAAGGTACCTGAGAGAGAATCAGTACGTACTCCGCACCACGGACATGACATGACGGGTACGGATACCTTGGTCGTGGGTTGGTGATGTGGGTGCCGGTGCATCAGTACGGATCCATGGAGACCTTTGGCAGCAGCAGCAATAACATGTAGTAGCAGCAAGCAGACATACCTACAACAAGTAAGGACCAGCAGCAGCAGCAGCAGCAGGCAGGCAGACGCAGCGCAACGGCTGGCTGGTGCAAGCGGGCGCGCGCGAAAACGCACAAGTTGCAACTAGGCCGGGCCAAAGCAAGCGCAGGCCCTTGGGACGCAGACCACACCATGCAATGATGAGCTGGCAGTGCCGCTCGACGGTGTTGCTTTGATGAACCTGGAAGGTAATCCAAGGGAAATCAGGAAACCAAGCCCGGCGAGACCTCGATCCAAAAAGGCAGGGTGTTCTCTCTTGACATGCAATGCACTGGCCTTTTTTGTGCTTTCCACACCCCTCGCCCATCTTTGCCGCGTCTCTCTCTCTCTCTCTTTCTCTCTCGATCTCTCTTCATGTGTGTGTGTGTGTGTGCATGTATGCGTATGTGCGAATGTGTGTGTCTCTCTCTCAGTAACCCACCCTGATATCTCAGGTATTTGTGCCTCTGCCTTGAGTCTTGTAAGCCAATTGGTAAATACACCCTTCGTAAAGGCTAGGAAATCGAAGTGTGAGAGAGGCAGGTACTGTGGTACTTGGCCGTTCGCAACCGCGATCTGTCAATGCAGGTGAGAAAAGCAGAGTCAGATAAGGTCATGCGCGCAGAGGTCGAGCCACGGCAAGATTGCCGCGGGCCAACTCTTTTCTTGTTATTGATGACTTGTCGTAAGGTAGCTCGTAGCTTGTAGCTCGTTGTTGCTGCTGCTACGGAGTAGTGGTACTGCTGCTTGGTTCTCCACGGAGCATGGGGAGCCGTCAAGAATATGAGAAGCAAAGAGGAGGTTGGCGGCGTGCAGCTTGCAGCTTGCCGCAAGGGGTCGTGTCAGTCAGCGAATCGCCCGTGGCTTCCTTCCCGAATCAATCTGGAAGCACCGTGGAAGGCGCCAACGATGTCATTCACTCACTCCTCTTACCAATGACTTTTACACTCAATCATGCATTCGCTCACTCTCACTCACATCCGTTACTCTCACTCACTCGCCGTGTCACTCATCTCATCTACCTCATCTACAAAGCCACTCACAACCATCGCTCGATTGCGGCAGGCATCTCACCACCTCACCTGGTTCAACCTGAGCAGGTGATGCCGCCCAGCGCCGATTGCCTTACCTCCATGGTCTTTCCCTGAGAAAGTCTCACCAAGCTACTGCAGAGTAGAGCAAAAAGGGGTGCTGCTAACTGGTGCTGCTACCAAAGAAAAAGCCAAACGTCTCTTGCCCGACCTGACAGAGCTAGCTCTTAGTCTCTTAGCGCTCGCCGTAGAAGCCGTCCTCAAATGTGATTTGTCAATTGACCTCTTTCTGGAACCCTGTCATCTGGATCAATTATCAATCCCAGCTTTTCCCTCTCTCTTACTTCTTTCACTCTCCACACTTTGCTCCACTCCAGCGGCCGGCTCTCACGAAGCGGGGACGATGGAGGGGCGTCCGCATGTCTGTTGGCGTGACCTGACTTTTTTGATAGACGGTAGACCCTATCCCAAAAGCCGATGGGACTCTTTTCGTCTCATGTATTTTGGCCATGACACATTACTTTGGCTGACATCGAATGAGAGATGGGATAAATGAACGGACTATGTATGTATACCTCCTAGGGATCCTGTCTATACCCGCCTGCCTCACCAAAATCATCTGATTTGAACTCTTCGCTTGCCAAGCGAGTGGGCATCGGAAGACCCCTAGTTAACCAAGATTCCGTGTGCCAACGACGGACCCTTTCTGTGTAGGCTCTGTATCGTAGTGATACTAAAGTGGAGATATCCTCACTACGTCCGGAACTGCTTCCGAGACAGAGCTCTCTTGAGCACTTATTGTTATTATTATCCAAGTCTCTCTCCAGCCCTGCCTTGGCCTAAGAGACGACTCCACCGAGCTTCATTTGTCTTACAATAAATCCCCGGTTTAACGCGGCTAAACAGAAATCATAGAAGTGATACGATGACCGTGCCGAGGTGTCTCTCACCGTCAATCTCTACATACAGTCTCTTGTCTCGCCAGACACATCTTGTAGTACAGAAAGAAGCCAGCTGTGGAACGAAACCAGTGCGTGTCCTCCCAAAGCCAGCATCCATAGCCCGCGGCTTTTTGTGAACCATGGCCTGCGGGATCCGGTGGCTCGGGAATACAAGTTTGTGATTACGCTGGCGTCCCCCTTGTGTGCCATGTACTGTAATCTGTATTTGTACCCCGTCTTGGAGCTGAGCCGGCAGGGTAGCTCTTGCGATGAGGGGTGTGAGGGGCACACCAAAAAAGAGACATCATGGACCCCTCCGTCTCGCCCTCTCTCTCCGGCTCCCTCTCTGCCACATCTCATCCCTGCCCCTCCATTTCGAAGAAGACAACACACCTGGCCTTCTTTCAACGTCATTTGCATCCAGTGGTGAAATGCCATTGGACAGAGCCACCTCCGATCTGAACGGAAGATGGAGGAGGGTTCGTCAGTGTTGATGAAGGTTCACCGGACCTTTGACACTGGGGGAATGAGGCCGGCCGGCCGCTGACCTCTCTTGGAAACCTGAGGCCGCACCACATTATTTTACCACCTAGACTAGACCGCCGTTCTATCATTTCCCGCCTGCTGAAGGAGGGCCCATTGAATTTTCATCATCACGGCTCGAGTTCACCTGGCGGATCCAGATCCAAAGTCTGGAGCAATTATCTCGTTGCCCGGTGCCCGTTCGAGCAGACCACGACGACGCGTCCTTCCCAACAATGAGTAGGCAGATCGATTTCAGTCAAGACACTGCCCGGCCATACCAAGCGGCCCATGACATGACCTCCCTTCCCGGGTAATTCTTCTCTGATATCAAAACAACTCCAAAGAGGAATATCGATAAAAAAGAGGGGCACACTTGCGTCTACCGCAGTAGGTGGCTCATGTATGACAGCAAAGACATCTGCGCCCACGCCCCGCGGCGCTCCTGTAAGGCGAGATGCACCAATCGAACCTCGCGTGGCCGCCATGGGTTAGGTCAGTCTGCTGGGATAATCCACCGCAGACTCGCAGTAGGCAGACATGTCTCTGTCTCTCTCTTTCTCAGCCTGTTCGCCCACGCCTAAGCTATCCGCACACACGCCTACACCTACTACACACCCACAGCTCGCGTCGATCTAGCTTCTCTGTGCCTTTTTGGCCGGCTCAGGGCTGGACTGGACAACCTGTCTCAAAATTGTCTCTGCCTTGTGTCTCAGACCTGCCATCCCAAGACAAGCATCCAAGTTTCGTTTCTTA